GGCTGTGCGGAACCCCTTCTCCAAGCAGGGGAAACACGTCGTAGTCCATCTGCGCGCTTCTGGCATAGAGACCTACTAGCGATGGCCTCCAACCTACTAGCAATGGCCGTTGTGCAGATATGTGTAGATCATCATGTCGATGTTCTTTCCGTAAGCATTCTTGACCAAACCTCTCAGCGACAAAACCCTGCGCCGCTAAATACCATAGTGCAAAGACTCACCTTTCTCTTCAAATAACCGTTAGTCTTTGTATCCAAAGGAGGGCGTCTAAAAGGACTTTGGATCTTCAACCACCAGGATGATTGGTTTCCCATACCCTGAAATGGAACTCTTGACACGTTCTTACAAATAATGGTTCTCTTGCCACCTGATATTGGGAAGGAGACTCCAAGAGTCTCGAAACTGAGCTTCGCGGGGAATAACGAACCAACTAACCCACCCGATGGATTGTCCGCTTGTGCGCCTCAATGAGCCTTGTAGCTAGGTGCTTCACCAAGCCGGAGGCTGCCTCTTCAGGCCGTCAGCGGGACACAAACATCTCCACAAGATGAGTTGAATCACCAAAACTATCAGTTTTGGGCTGGGCAGCATCTCCACCAAAACTGTCTGATCGCCTTCCTTCGCATTGGGCATCTCAAGTTTCGCAGTTCCGACTAGACTTCCGGTGGTCAATTGGACTAGACTTCCCAGACTTCAGTTCCCGAAGCAAGTTCTCATTCAAAAAATCACATATGATTCATATTGTTTTGATGTGAAAATCCCTTGCAGCCCTGCAACTCTGCATGTTCATACAAATAACGAGTACCAAATGCGTCAACCCAACAAAGCCACAAAGGAAGTCATCCTCTTGTGCCATCTTGCAGAAGCCAAGACCTGAACCAACACCAAGACATTTGATCCTCTCACTCATAGGTGACACAACAACCCAGAAAAAAGGAAGCTACTAGTAGCTAAGGGCATCGCTACTAGTAGCAAGAAGCTACTAGTAGCAAGGTGCCTTACTACTAGTAACAAGAAGCTACTAGTAGCTAAGGGCATTACTACTACGTAGTAACAAATTGCGCTGAAGCTCTTAGATGGTCTCCTGTCGTCTTTCATCCCATCTCCAAGGCCGACCTCTGCGGAAGGCACTGACAAGGAGGCGAGCCTGAGTCGATTAGAGATCCAAACAGTGAAACAAATCTTTGGATTTCTTTTATAGTAGTAGCGATGCACTAGTAGCGATGCACTTGTTACTACTAGCTTCTTTGCTACTATATCTTTTATGGGTGTACACTACTATTCGGACTATTCGTTTCCCTCTTCAGGCAAGTACATGGACAGGAACCACTGCATTCTGCCCTATGACACAACTTAGAAATAAACGACTTGACTTAAGCTGAGAATTAACAAGCAGCAATTTGCATCCTTCACTTCGTAGCTTTGGTCCAGAGGTCCACACCAATCACACTGGGACCAGCTGAAGAACCGGCCTAGCTGGCCTAGCTGCCCTCTTTGCCCACCCCTGTGAGGGTCATTACTTCTCCCCGGCCCTAATCGCCCAAATGGTTTCTCCGGGGCGGAATCCGAGCACCGTGCAGAAGGCCTCGTCCTGGGAGCTCAGCTCTGCTCCGGTGGAAGGAAGAAACGCGGTCGTCTAGGGGGTTCTCTACAGCTGGTAAACACTCATTTTCACTCATTTCTTAAGACCATTCCGAACTCTTGGGTGTCAGCCTCAGCCCAGCAGAAGAACCAACTGTCCAAAACGCAAACGAAGCTATTTACGCCTCCAGCTCATGAGGCTCATGACATGTGATTTGTCTGCAAAACCTCGAGCTCATCTGCGGCACCTCCACGAACTTCATCTAAGCTATGCCGCATTTCCGTGCCTCGGCGGCATCTCGAGTGTGCTCAACCCGTCGGTCGTGGACTGACTTGCTTCAAGAAGGATGAGAACTGGACTGACCGCCTTTATGAAGGACAAAAAAAACAAAATTGGTACAATGTGTCATACATTGGCTGGTGCCCACCCTACAGCAAATGAAGTCCGCCATGACATGTTTGTCAAGAGACTCGGTCGACCATACCGACAGATGCGAGATTTCGCAGTCTTTGCGCTGGCACAACGCACAAGGCCCAGCCAGGCCTAGAAAGGGCAAGGGCCTAGTATTTACTTGGCAGGAGTCCTTGCTTGAAGTCAACTCATCCAATTTGGATCAAAGATTTGCTCCAAAAGTATCATTCCCCATACTCAAGTTGACCTGGACTCTCTTGGGCCCATACTCCTTTGGCCGTCTCATCTCTCGAACCTCCAAGCGCCCGTACGACACCACAGCGCGCAGAGGCTCGTCATGCACTCCGCGGCCCAGGTGGCGACGGAAGAGTCGGGGCCTGGGCACCGTGTGGGCTCCACCGTAGAAAGCACCGTTCGTAGCTTTCTTGTTCCTAGAACACCGGTAAGAAAAGTGGAAGGGAACAACTGCTATAGCAGCTGGTGTGCAATCAGAGCCGGAAGTGAGACTCAGTCTGCTAGGCATCATCTATAGGATGCAATATTTGTACTGGCTGTGCTTGTTCTTGTATCAACTGATCAAAATTGTGTTCTGCTTGGCTTGTGCTTTTTGAAAGCATGTTCTGTCACCTCATGGTGGGCTTGTGAGTCCAACTTCCACACCTCAGCAGGTAGACGCTGCATAGCTATTGCTCGGGTAGTGGTCCTAAGGGGCCTAAGCACGTGTTTGAGCCTAAGCCAACATCGAACATGCATTCCAACCATCCATCTGCCCTCGTCGAATTGATCAGGCTCTGATCTTGCTACGACTCAGGAACCACAATCACCACTGTCCGAGTCTCAGAAGCTTAGTGCACTCTGCAGTCCACCACCCCAACAAGCTACAAATATCTCAGGAGCAGCGCAGTGGCTCCCTCAAAATTGGGAGGTGAGAGTACACGTAGGAGAATCACGATGCCCACACCATGTGCACACCACGACCCACTCGTTCCAGGTCGACGCTTGCGCTGAGCGACAACAGATGTGGGCGTAGAGCGACTGCACCAAATCCGCCCGGCGCAACGGTAGCACCTGCGAGTCGCGGGCGCTACACCGCGACGCAGCGCGGAACGCATGACCACAGCTCCACCAGCTGGAGTCACGACCCATGACTTACAGCTCTCAGCCTGGGTTGCTGGATTTCGTCAGTACAGGCACTATGTCATGTGGGAAATCCACCGCAAGAAGCCCCGGCTAGTGATGTTGATTCGCTTCATGGGTGGGAGAGCTCTCAACCATCGCCTGACCAACCCTTGCTGCTTCAAACGGTGCGCTGACTAGAATGCCCCATGAATACATGCAAGTATGCCTTCCGCTCCTTCTGTCCCCTTCCGAGTGACAAGGAAGAAGGCCCCTGGCACTCCGACCCCGAAAACGGGGAACCGAGCGGCGAGCGAAGCCGCCTCGATGCTGGCCACCGGGCCCAAAGACCTCAGCCGCCCACGCTCCACTCTGGTCGTCCAAGCTAGTTGTTACTAGTAGCGTTCTACTAGCAAAAGAGCTTTACTAGTAGCGTTCTTGCTCCTAGTAGTAAGGCCAGGAGCGCCCTTAGTAGCGTCCTTGCTATTAGTAGCGATGCCCTTTGCTACTAGTAGCTAACTATATTAGACCTGTCTTCCTTGTCTTTCTTTTTGTTCATAATAGCGATGGCCTCCAACCTGTTGTTCGATCGGGTTTCAAGAGAATGATGAGAAGTGCCCCGGGTTGATTGGGCGCTTGGCCCAACATGGATTTGGGCTTTGAACCAGACCCAAAAGAACCTTGGAATGGTCTTGGAAGACTATAGTCTTTTGTCAAAAGCTTCAGCAAAAGCACCTGCACTGTGCGGCGATCTGACTGCCCCTCCCGTGGCCCTTCGTGGCGCTTCCTGGCACTCAACCACTGATCAGTCGCCTTTTCTCCATGTGGCACAGATGTGTCGCAGATGTGTCACTCACGTGTCACTCACTCCTGTTCGCCTTTCTTCAAAAGCCAAAGCCGTGGCCTGGCACTGACACTCCGTGCAGACACCACTGGCCGTGAGGCCGATGGCACTGACCGTCAGCGGGTACTGACCGTCAGCGGGTGTGACACGAAAATCCTTGCATCGGGCACTTAGCAGGTCAGCCACTGTTCCTGGAACATCTTGGAGAGTATAAGTAGTTGTCTTTGAGGCCAAGAGAAATGGTTGAGAAAGAAGAAACTGAAGCATTGTCCCAAAATTGGAAATGGCATCACGATGTCCAGCCACCGGATGCTTCAGAGTCTCACTTATTCTTTCCGAGGTATCACAGAAGCCAATGCTCAAACCCTCCAAGAGTCACAAAATGGGGTCACAATTGTGGGTGGCTATGTCTCTACTTGGCCACCTAATTAATAAGGTGCTCTGACCTACCTCGCATCATCCCATTGACGCACTCGATCAGGCTGCGGCATTCACCCAGTGGAAGCCACACAGAAGCTCTCGGAGCTTGGTGGAAGCCACGGTGCAAACCTACGGATGGATGAAATCCACCGCTGCACCTCTGCGTCCCTACGACGAGTTCGCATCAACCCCCCCGCATCCGATCGCTCCGGACTCGTAGCGATGCCCAAAATGTTCCGGACTCGTAGCATCCTTGTTATTACTAGTAAGGCACTTGTTACTAGAAGCGATGCACTTGTTCCTAGTAGCGTTCTTGTTCCTAGTGCTGGGTTTCCTGCTGAGCGGTAGGATTTAGGTTGGTCAAGCTGTCCGTACATGTTGGGGGGGTGCGAGGGTACGAAGACAGGGCTTCGGACGGGTGCAGGAGCTGTTGTCGGAGACAGATCCACATGGCACCTTTGAGTGAGGAGAAAACGGAAAGCCTCGCTCCCAGCCATAAAACCAGCATCCATTCTGGAAGCAAGGGTAGCGATATGGATCCGCCCGGTGTCATGTCGTTTTGCTTAGAGCTTCCATTTGGCATCTGTGGCACCCTTCTGAACAAAAGACAAGGCACCTAAAAAATCAGGCCGGAATGCCACATCACAGAGTTCTTTCGGGGGGATCCACATGCACTTCGGCCATCACAAACTTCATGCAGCGAATTCAGTCAGTCACTTCGTCACTTTCCTGACGGCGAAAGAAAGTCTCAAAAACTGTGGGAAGACATGGAAAAAGACGTGGAAATATAGTGGTGAATCTAATTCTGGGTAGCTTGAAATGTCAAATGGAATCTCAAAAAGGGCAAAAATCCATCAAGGTTCATCCCGAAGACATGGGTAAAGGTTTTGACCACACCCTATCGTGAACTTGTTGACTCTGGTATTGGTAACTAGATATATTTGGCATTGCAAACTGTGGTCATGCGACCAAGTGATCTCCCGATTGTGAACACCGCAGTTGGTTCCTGTTCGACCGGCAGGGCGAACAGAGCGAGCACAAAGCGATAACATGCACGATCGTTCAATTCCCTGTGTCTTTCTATCAAAAAAGTTACCCATAAGTAGATAATGAAGTAGTGGGACAGGATCTTATGACCTCACAACCACAAGTAGTAGGAGCTTCATTCATCACCCCTCGTAAGTGTTCTCGTCGTAGATAAGTCTGGGATCACCCCACGACATCCTCGTCGAATGCTCCTTCATGCCAAGAGTGCGCTGCTATGCCGCTGCCATCTCCACCTGCCACGGGGGTGATGATCTCTGTGGAACCCAAAGGGCGGATGCCACAGGCATCGGGGTCATGTGTTCCTCTCACCCTCTCAACTGGATGTGATCTTTGATTCGTCCGAGGATATTGTGTAGAAGGTGATGATATTTTTCCACTGGGGATCCACGAAAGAACCAGACGCTTTGATGGTGTCTCTCACTGCCACGGCTGAAAACTGAGGCCGAGGTGCTTTCTTTGCTCGGGAAGGCCTGGCCAGAAAGGTTGAACACAGTGAGCAAGCTGTCAAGACAAGGGACCTTGCAGAACACCATGAGCTCCTACAGAGGGACTTTGAGCAATATTGTGGATCATGCGGAATCATGCGCATTCAGCCTCAACAAGAATGGAAGGATTTGGCACAGATCCTTTTGGTGGTCAAGGCCTCTTGAGTCCCTTGAGCCACTGGGATACATGTCAGGGGACACGAACATGTTCGTCTCCAAGCTCCGTCTCCAAGCTTCGAAGGCTCATTGCCAACCAAAACACGAAACCGAGAAACATTCATCATACAACTTACAACAACAATCTATGGCAACCTGGCGCATTTCTCAAAGTCTGAGCATGAACTCTAAGACACTAAATCAAGGTCCGTCATTTCAAGGATCACACAAGCTCAACTGCTAACACTTACATGAATTAACAGAACTCGAACTGCAATACAGACTCTGCCAATGGCCTTTCACCATGCAGCACCCAAAAAAAAGCATATGAAAGGTCTTAGTCACCACCCAAATGCAAATGACTTTCAGGGTGAAATCCAAAAAAACCGACCACAATCCCAACGACACCCACGACCGCAACGACCAATGCCTGGGTGGTGCTGAAGGGCAGCGACGCAACGGTGGCGCAGCGCTACCGGCCTGGGACGGGAGAAGGTCCGACGTCGGATCCAACAGAATTCAGGCAGCTCTTCGGCCCAAAACGATGGTGTTTGTTCCAAAAAAAAAAGTGTTCAGCCTTGTCCAGCCATCCCCAACCCAGTTCATCCACTGGCATATCTGGCATAAGTGGTTTCCCACGCGTCCCCCATGGCGTCCCTCGGGCCTCTCTGCCCTTTTGGAGCAAAAGTGGGACGGCTCCGGCCTGGACGGGGTGAGGATAGAACGGTCTTTACGCCATGATTGAAGAGTCGACGTGGCATTGCAAAATGGGGTGGGCTCAATGCATTCCATCAGTCCTCAACAAACATGTCATCGATCAGTGGTTTCTGATCTGTGAGCAAAAACGAACCGGCATGTACACATACACATCTATGCATGCATACACAAACGGAGCTACCTGCCCAAACCTGAAGTGCTCATGTGTTCAAGAAGCCTGACACGTCATCAAAACCGCCACCGAAGCGTGCTGCGGAGACCGAGGCACCAGCACTGTGTCGGTGTTGAAAGGGATATATGATGATACAGGTGGTCTGTCATGGCCGGTGGGATGATTCTGCTCTCAAACACGACACATAAAACACTGATCGAACAGATGATCTCACCCGGTTTTTGTTTGAACAGCCCTCATTTCACCCAAGAAATTTGCCCCAAGGCTCACCCAGAACAACCAAAATAGACTTTCACCCGCACTGTCTTCGCCCAGAACCACTTGGGCCCGACATCAGGCTGCCGCCCTTCACCCGCCGCGCCTCCGGCGCCTTGGGAGTCTTCGGCGCAGCGGAGGAGGCCCGCTTCAGGCGAGCAGCGGCCTGGACGCCCTGGCGTCAAGCGTTTTTGCGTCCGGATTTCATGATATGAGTAGTCAGTTGGTGTTGTGTTTTTGCGTCTGAATCCAAACGTCATACGATCCGAGGTGCAAAATGGAGGCAACCTGGTGGGTTTGGTCTTCGAAATAGACGATACCTAAGTGTCAAATCTCAGATCAAATTAGGCATGTGGTCTTGAGTTGAAGGGGATCGACGTGCTGGTTTATGGTCTTTGGCAGTGTCCCTCATGTTGATATGGGATATGGGTCCTGCCGCCTCAGCCACTGTAATCGTTTTAGCTGGAAGGTGTCTGAGTGGCCCTGATACATGATGTCAGTATATGTCAGTTACATTCAGTTCCCTACTTACGAACCCTGGAATTGAAGAATCCAATACATTGCCGAAGAGTGAAAGCACTAGTCAGCAGCCACACAAGGATCGGTACCGTTGCTTTCCAGACCACATGCCGTGGTTCACGGCCCAAACATCACCGATTAGCTGAGTCTCAAAACTCCCAAAAGCTGATGGGGCTGGCTTTCACGTCCCAAAGGGAAAAGCCTCTCATTTCGGTGCCTTGGCACTACCCGGACCCTCTACATACCGAAACACTCACACGGCTTCCGGAAAGAACCTCCTTCGCGCTTGTCGCCTTCAAGGCCGAGCGCAGGTTCCGTGGTTCGGGCCGCAGCCGCTCCGGCGCGCGGCCGTTGGACACCACCGAGCCGCGGTAGCCGCCGTAGCCGACGTAGCTGCCACGGACACGAGCGCTGAAAGGCTCCTGGCAAGATAGGAGCGCTACATAGCCCTAGCATCGTGTTCCAACGAGAATGAGACGTCCATGGAAAAATCGGGTGTTAAAAATAGAAGTGTGGGATCTTGTGAGTCCTCGCTGTATGCTCCCATGCCGAATGAACCCTCATGTCACCTGAAGGTTTGACCTCCCGAATGCCCACGGTCACCCAGAACCCGTCGGGGACTTCCCCCGGTCACCGGTCCTTGCTGGGCACACGCTCGCCGCGGCTACTGGCGTCGAGGAGCAAGAAAGCAAGTGAGAGGCTATTAGGAGCAAGGACGCTACTAGTAGCTCCTGGCCTTGCTACTAGGAACAAGAAGCTACTAGGAACAAGTGCCACGCTACTAGTAACAAGTGCCTTACTAGTAGTAACAAGAAGCTACTAGGAACAAAGGGCATCGCTACGAACGGAGCGATCGGACGCAGTCGGTGGAGGGTCCAATGTCTGTTTCAGAGTCCTTCGGACACGTGGAATGAAGACACACTCTGGAAAGAACACTGTATTAATTTGGATCAATCACTGAAACATCCTGCCAAACAGTTTCTGGTAGAGGGTTTTAATGACTATTTATAGATCCGATGATCCACCAGGTTCAGTGCCTCCTCATATCAAATCAGCCAAAATCTGTTCCTACAAAAAGGGGAAACGCTTCCATGGGCATAGTAACAAGAAGCTAGTAGAAACAAGTGCCACGCTACTAGTAACAAGTGCCTTACTAGTAGTAACAAGAAGCTACTAGGAACAAAGTGCCTTACTACTAGCAGCAAGAAGCTACTAGGGGCTTCTGGCCTTACTAGTAGTAACAAGAAGCTATTAGTAACGCTTCCATGGCATGCCACGGCATCCGCACGGGCACCTGAGCACCCGCGGCACTCTGGCAGATCTTGGACCGTTCGTCCGGCTGTCGGGTAGCTTCCTCAGGTTGAGCTTCACATGTCGATACCTGCCACTTAAGCCACTAGGAACAAGTGCATCGCTTCTAGTAACAAGTGCCTTACTAGTAGTAACAAGGACGCTATTAGGAACAAAGGGCATCGCTTCTAGACATGTTTGTATGAAAAGTGTCTTCCATCATTGTCTATACACATCAATGGGCATCTTTGTCGATAGACCAATCAACCTTCTTCGATGAGGCGCCAAAATGAAGAGGGCTCCACCGTGTTCCACCGAAATCAGGCTATGATTATGATGCATTCTTTAATCAGCAGCAAATGGACCCTTCAAGTGCCTCGAGAATGGGTGGCTTCATGCTTCACACGAACGAAAGCTGCCACCAAGTGAACCAAGCGTTCCAGACTCCCCAATTTTCCGCACTGACCCGGTCAAACTGTCCAAGTCCAAGAAAAAAAACAACATCCCATCATCTTAGAATCTTGACTCTGTCGGAAACAAGCCCACTCCACAGCAACAACTTGACAACCCGTCCTACCACTCTGCTCCAAGTGCCAAGTCTCCCAAGCTTCAGGGCTGGTGGACGAGCACCCTGAGATCCCTTTGCCTCCCTCCTATCAGGTTGGATTGTGGATGAGAACTTCCTCACCCCCTCCCTCCAGTCAGGTCCGATTTGGGGAATCTCGTGGATGGGTCGAAGCTCGAAGATGAAAGCTACGAGTTGAAGATCGTAGATCCAGGCAAACTAAAGAACAAAAGCACATGCCTTGGACCAGCAATCAGAAGCAGTTTGTACTTCAACAGCAATCCCTCTCTGTTAGAGGAACCAACACAAAAAGATTCCCATAGAGAAGGAAACTTCCAGAGGCATCAACAAACAAACAGGACACCTCACCTCACCTCTCTCCTGACATTTGTTTCCCCGGTCAAAACCCATTTCTTATCAAATCAGCCCGGCTGATGAAAAATGCGGTCAAAACATGGCATCGACCATCCACGTATCTCTCCAAATGTTGACCGCCGGGGTGCAAAACCAATGACTCCCAAAAAGGATATCCTTGCAAAGAACCTATCGAATAGCACCTCAAAGAACTTCTTTCTTTCTTTCCTCATGGGTCCTTTTCCCTGGCACACTGTTCGGTGGAACTTCTCATTCTTCAACCCAATCTGGGATGGTCAAAGCCCTTAGAACACCCAAGTCTGCACCTGGTAGCTAGTCGTGTCCCCCCCAAGTGTCAGACCCCATAAAGTTTCACAGGCAATCATAAGAAAACAACGAATTGAATATATAGTCGACATCGACAGCTGGCGTATCCTCACCAATCCTCGTAGCTGGTGTGTTTCAAAATGAACACAGAGTTCATGAGCCCACACGCTACAGGTCCAACATGGTATGTCCTGGTATCCAAAGCACTGGAGGACTGGCTGCGCTTCAAGCCGCCGCCACCCGTGCCGCCCGTGCGCGAGGGACGTGGGGCATCCGGAGGAGCAGCACCTGGCGCGTTGAAGACTCGATGGATTGGTGCCGAAGGCAGATTTCTGATGGAGAACAGGGTAGGATGAAGTAAGGGGTTTTGACTCCAGTAGACTTCGGAAGTTGATGGTTTCAACACGGGTGTCATTGTCCCTTTCGCGGCAATCTGCTTTAAGTCCAATCCAAGGGAAAGCTATCCCGAGTCCACGGATTCCTTCAAACCGCGCCAAGTCCATTCAAGTCCAGATGAGCAAAGGAATGAACAACATTAAGCAGCTTTGCACCCCCTGAGATGAAAAAGCCTCGACTCACAAGTTGGGAAGCTGTTCTTCCATGTTCGTCCTCCTTCCTCCCTGGACCACTGCAAGGTGTACGTACTCTGATTACTTACTTGCAGTGACTGAGTATAATGACTCCCATGGCCACCCAGGTGGCTTCCAACGTTGGCATTCCCACAACCCGGCCCTTCGTTGGAGACAATGGACTCCAATGGGTGTGCTTTATGGAGCCGATGGTGTAAGCCTTCTGAGCACCTGCCCTGACCAAAGTTTCTTGTGGGTCTTGGAGCTATACTTTCACACTTCGCAGGAAAGGAATTGGGCCTGAATTAGCATAGGTGTCTTCATGCTGGGGGGCCCATGAGACCTAGATAGCGCCGGTGAAAGCAAATCGCGGCTGAGTTCCACCGAGCTTTCATACACCCGAGGTGAAAAACGAATCTGTCCAAAGGGCGGAATAAATAAACCAAAACATCTGAGCCACCAGGTTTCACTGGTAATTTGAAGGATGTTCAATATGTCCATGTCTTTTCATCTCCCCGTCCAGCAGGATTGCCTCGCCTGCAAGATCCTCCACTCTCTGCACCTCACATGTGTTGAACACAGGGCAGATCTAGTTGCCAGCTGCCAACTCCTTGTACATCGCCAGTTGCCACAAAGGCTACTTGGGGGATCTTGCAAAAGCTACTCACAAAGGTTGTTTGTTGCTTTGGTGTACTTTGCAATGGTCACAGTCTGTCCACTTCGTAGTAACTATAGCCAGCACTTGTCACAACCCACTCCCATAGAACAAGTCCTCTTGACTTTCGACATCCATACGGACACCCCAAAGAGTTAATGCATGTCCTCTTTTGAGAGCCCTGAAATGCGAGACGACAAACGAGGACAAACAAGGATAACCAGGGATGAAGAATTTGTCAGTCGAGGGAGTTCAGCAAATTAGCCTAGTTGCAAGTTGTGAAAAAGTCGCACCCTAGTCTTCCCTCGCCAATTCACTAACAAATGCTGACACCAAGAGCTTCTCTCAGTCCCTCTTGAAAAAAAGGATGCCTTTCACAAATTCTTGACACGCCTCGGCTTGGAGGATCTTCAAGGGATTGTCTAAATCCGTCAAGGTCTCCGCCGGCCGCAAGGTGGGTTGAGACCTCGGTGACGGTGACCGTTTCGGAGACCTCGGGTAGACTTTTTGCGCATGGCCTGTGAGGCATGTATCGGCCCTAGACTCTTCACACGAAATAGATCGAAGCAACTGGTTCATCTTGGTGAAACGAGTTGCTGCCCCTACTTTTGAAGGACGAAAGACAGGTTCGACCACACCAGTCATCTCATGTCATAGCAGCCCGACCACATCAGAATCGCATGTCCTATCTCTCTGACGATGCAGCCCACCCAGCAGTGCAGCCTAAGGTGCTCCATGGGCTCCTCCTCGTCCAGCAAACTCTGGGCGGCCACCGCCTTGCCGCGGTCCCCATCGCGTTGCTTCCCATTTGGAACCGGTTTTTGCCACACGCCTTCCTGCTCCAGTTGGGGGGAAACATGACGGGGGACGCCTCTTTGGTGGATACACAGTGTTGGCAAAAAAGAGCTATAATGCGAAACGTTCCAAACAATCTGCTGGAGCTGAAGGCAGCTGTGACTAGATGCAGGGGTTTATACTCTAATGTAACTGACAAGATCTTTAAACTTCCTTAGCTCCCTCAAGCACATGAACCACGGTTTACCACCCCGGCGGCGATTTTTGCAGCCGCAGCCGGTGGGAGTTCCGAGTGGAACGCTCTGCTTGGCCTGTGCTTGATCAGGACGGGCTGGGGGTCCATTGGGTGATTGAAGGTGGAAGCAACAGGTCCTCACGCAAAGCACTTGTCGAAGCAAGGGTCTAAAATCGAAAGAAGCGATCGATTCGTGCAACGGAGCCTGCCAGTGACGGCGACCACAACTTCAACATGTGCCTGTTGGCATTCTTTGAACAGGCCAACCCCTATGGATTCGTGAAGCTCCTAGTCCTACTGTTGACAGCAGAAGTTCCTAATACCAGCACGGAGCGGGCATCGGCAGGATCGGGTTTCTACCTTTCGGTGTCGACGACATGGCGGTGTCTGGCTCGTATCTCCCGAAGTCGTGGGTAGGAGTTCTTCATCCAGGGACGAAGGGACGCGAGTTCTGTGAACATATCGGATGATGTCTCAAACATCTGATTCATCAAAGGGACTGCATATCTATGACAACTCAACCGTATATAATCGTCTCATACCGTTTCTAGATTACCCTGAGACAGGCAACCTGACCGGTTACTAGTAATGACACAAGATCTCCACCTCACACATCAGAAAGTTGCATGTTGAGTTGCGTGCCAGAACACTGGCCCAACGTGTACAACATCCTGCTCGGGCACTGGTGGGCATCTTGTAGCCAAGCCGTGCACGCCACACATACTCGCCCTCAGGCTAAGTTGAAACTTGTTACAGTCAAATACAACAATTACACATCATCTCCTATATTAATACTCTTGTGATCGGATTTTAAGATCCATGCCTAGACTCTTTTCGAACAGCCTCAAAACAAGGGTCGCCATTCAGAGAGGAGTTATTATCTTCACTGAATCAAGATGATCATGGAGAAAGTGTCCAGAACCACTACAGCACCTGGTGACGAAGGCAACATGAAGAGTGCTCCCACGCACAATTCATTCCTGCAGAACGAACACTGCTATCCAGCCATGTGCTTCTGGGAGGGCGAGAAGTGCATGCAGCTTTGTTGAAACACGGTTGGAGCTCCAATTCGTTTGGGCACTTCAAAGGCCTGGAAGAGGTCAACATCTGCAAAAACGTGGGTCTTCCCGCGATCTGAACGGCCAAGGCTCTGCCTTTGTTGGCGCAAGGCAGTTGGAAGGGCACAAGTTCTTTTCAATCCGAACCAATGAACAAGGGGCTCCATAGTTCTTCGGCTTTGACATGTAGATAATATCCATCCAAAATCATATGAATTTGATGGAAGACCATTCGTGGGAGCCACAAGTGTGGGACGGAACAGTGGAAACAAGCGTCAAAACTTGTTGAAACCATTCAACCAAAAAGAAAAGGTTCCTTCTCACATGCCAGGTGAAAGTCTACGAGTCTACGATTCCTCAAAGGGAGATGGTGTTGTAAAATCTTTAGAGGAACCACTTCAGCAAATTGCACTGACAAATCCCAAAGCTCTGTCCACACTTGGATTCTGGGCTGGTGATTGCTACTACAAGCTCAGCATGATTTCTCATCTTGCAGTTTCCTTCCGCATTGTCACGTTTGGATTCAGGGTGGAGTTCAGCAAGTAGAGGAGCAGTTAATGAAGGTGGTGTAGGGTCTGAGCAGTTAATGAAGGTGGTGTAGGGTCTGCCTGATCCAAATGGCCACACAATTCCGCTTCACACATCTCTTGAACATCGGCACTATCAATTTTGGAATCAGGGATCGGCTGATTTGCTTGTATTCGCTTTCGTGAATGGCAACATGAGCTCCTAGTATCAGGACAACCACTAATCTTAGGTTCGACCTTTTGCAAAAAACCGTTTGTTTGCTTAACTTACTGCCAGCTCTTCATTGCAGGGGTGTCTGCAACCAGCCCTGCTGTAGAAAAGCATGTTTGCTGAGTTTGCGTGCAAAACGCGCCAGCCGCCAAAATTGCACAACATCATGCTCGGGCACTAGTCGACTCTTCGGTCATACTGTGCACGCCACACAGCTCTCCCGCTCCTGGATGCCAAGTATGTCGGGCCAAAAGAATGATCGCATCTGTCAGAAATACCCCAAAAGACTTGAGCAAAGGTCACTGATTTGTAATCAAGTTGAAAAAGTGGGCGAGGAGTGCACGCACGATGTCGCAAGAACCTAACCAGCTTCAATACCGGTCACGAACATCCCGATGAGGATTGGTCCGGTCCTGAATCGATTTCAAGGAGAAAAAAACAAAAACCCTTCAGCCCTTCAGCCAGCTACTCCGCCTACACACTCGTACACACAAATGCTGTGCGTCCGCCTACTATCCACATCTGCTTCTGTTAGGTGGTGGAAAACTCACCTGGCTGAAAGTGATGAACATTCACGAACTTGTAGGGAAGCCATGAAGGAACCCAGCCAAGCTCAACGCACCACACTGAAGGCCCTCGCAACGAGATGTCAACTTGATTGGTACATACTATAGCTGTTAAAAGGCTTTGCATAGCTTTATACTGTCCAGACTGGGTGGACAAGCGGACCACTTGGGAATTTCCCCCCCCAACTGCTTCTCCACCCTGCTGCTCCAGGCCGAGGTGCAATCCATATATTCATTTCGAGTCAGGACGCTCGCGGCGTCTGAGGCCTGCGCACGGCGGTTCATCCCACCCCGCCGGGTCTGCTGCCGCTTGTGGCCATGGCTGGCGATGGCCGGAGGTGGATGGAAGGCGTCCACCGGCAGGTCGTGGTCAAAGGTAATCGTCACACATGGATCCTCGGTGCATGACATCGAAAGCGTTCTGGCCCCAAACAAACGCGTCTCCTATGGAAGGTGCGAAGATTTGCGTTGTTTGTCTTGTTTTCCGCTATCAAAGGGTTTCCAGTTTAGGGGATGTTGTCAACAACTATTGGGCGTGGACAAACCCGCTACCCTTGCGGCATGCTGTGTGCGCATAAACTGCCTTCCGACGACCAAGGGGCTGGAGTTGGATCTGGTTCTACCCGGTTCAGCCTTGCCGGTTCGCCATTGACAAGGATCATGTCACCGACGTTCAGCTTGTATGCCGGAACCTATAGCAGCAAGACTGGGGTCTCTGTGGGGTTTCAGGTAGTCATCGTATTATCCTATCATGAATCTCACGGAATTCTACTCAGAAGGTTCTGGTCCTCGCGGTCCTGGTCAACAACAACAAATTTTTGAGATGATATCCCACTGCAGGGCTTACCAGTCAAGGAAAATCCCTGCGGCGGTCACCTCCAAACACCAGCCTTTCTTGAAGCGGCGTTACCCCCCCCCACTACACAAGGGTTCACTTTGCCTTATTCTAAGTTATTGCTGTATGGTCCACTCAGCTCCTCTCACCATCTCCCATCTCAGCTTCCCATTGGCCACGCAACGGGATCACCAGTGGCCAATGCCACACGATGGTCAGGGGTTACCCTGAGGGTTGCATCGCTAGCAAACAGGATAGTCCCCACAGCATCGTAGGGCTTCGAGCAACGTGACACCTGGACGGTGCAGGAATGCGCTTCAACTTCTGCATGACTAGTGTTACCATGTTTTACATCAATTCTGCATATCAGGTGCTGCGTGGCACGCTTCAGCTTGTAGTTTTGCTCACAGTCCTCTCACTAAAATATATAGTTGACCAAAGTTGCTTGATAAGTGCCACAAGCGGGCTTACACTGCCTTCCCAGAATGGGGTGATCAATATTTCTATATATGTCTATACTGTATACCCATTATACGTGAAGCAACGCATCGAAGGAAAGCAAAAAAATAACCAAAATTAAAACGCTGGACCAACACCTTCTTGCCCCTTTGTATGTCCAATCATTGGCACCCAACAAATGATGGCTCAGGTGGGGTATTGCAAAACTCAGCTAGGAGACTTCTTTGCATGCCAGGAATATGCACCAATTCACAAGTGATGGATGTGTATGTGTGTGTGCATATCTATATATACTGTATATATATATATAGTCTGGCGTTGGGAGAGATGATAACTGTTTTCATTGGTGACCGGATTGCTTTGAATGAGTTAATTCAGTCGCTCAATCTTCACTGCCTGCAAGATAGAGCCATCAGTGGCACGGATTCGAGTGCCCGTGCGCCTCAAGTGAACAGGCTTGGCCAGAATGGGCGATCCTAACAAAGGAGGGCCGGACCATTCTAGCTGGTCATGGCCCCCCTTTGCAAACTTTCATGCTGGGCCCCGACTTTTTTACTAGAAGCACGGACATATTCCGTATATCCTATATGCTTGGTCATAATCCGCTTTTGATTCCCAGGTTCTTCCCCCAACAGCTTCAGGATTCGGTCCAAACATGCTAGTCGGCTTTATAGGAAATCGATCAGTGGTCAGTCTTGAACAATTTAAGCAAGATAATAACACGCAGACGCCAAGCTACACATGCTGTCCGCTCACGAAGCCACCGTCCGGAGTCTTGAAGATCGTGTCCAGGGCAAAGCAGTCCGCCAGATTCTTCACTTTTTCCCAGGATTCGTCGGAGCCATCATCGCTGGCTTCATCCTCGGCCTCCTTGAGCTGAAAAGTGTCTCCCTTCCAAACTCACATGAGAGGCTGACACTGGTACTTTGTCCCAATGGCAGAAGGTGATTGAAGCATTCGGCAAAAGTACTATTGCAATGTTGGTTGTAGTGAACATGGGAACATACTCGCACATGCTATGTTCAGACTCGTGAACATTAAACTCAAAGAACCCTTTATCTGAAATGGTGAGGCTTCATGCCAGGTACCATATGAACGACGTGCAAAACCTCTTATGGTGCGCACTCTTCCCAACGTTATCATCTTTTCTGTGAACCTTATCGTTCCTGAGGGTTTGGACACACATAGCATGTACTAAAACCTTATCGTTCCTGGAGGTTTCTTTACTTTACTTACTTAGCCTTCACTGTAGTGATGCTGCCTTCATCGAAGGTTTTGGCAGTTGCTCATATCACAATGCTCCTTCACGGTAGGCTCCTCCAGCAATTCTCCCATCACACCACCCGATCCACTGAAAAACACCTGCCGCGGTCCTTGAGCTCATTCTCCGTCTCTTCCGTAGGCTCTTCCAGCTCAGTCGGCTCTGGTCCACCTGGTGGCTCCTGTAGCTGCTCCCTCTCCACCGACTCCTCGCCCTCCAGCTCCATCAGCTCCATAGGACTCAAGCCACCTGCGCCACTCAGGGATGGAGCCTCCTTTTGTATCTACCAGTGTTTCTTATAGTCATAGTTATATCATCCCCATACG